ATGATCATTTCACATTTAACAAGAGCTCATTTTCCATAGCACACATAGGTTTTTGAGACCGTAACGACAGGGAAATGCTTCAGGGACAGACGTTTTTGAAGGGGTCAATTCTGAGTTCTGGAAAAATCAGATGAGCGAATAGTTTTTAAAATGTCTGGGCCATGACAATGACAGAGGTTTCCATAAAGCAGTCATGGAAGACAAAGACTAATTTCTGGCCAGTCTGCAATGGCCATGGAGAAGAGCAGAGCAAGGTATCAAATGTCAACTCATGGAAAGGTTTACCAAAATGCCCTGGCTTCCTAAATGTCCCCACAATGAGCATAAATTGTCCCACACAATTGAAACAGATGTTTCTACTTTGTCAATATTTGCCAGAAAAATAAAGGTTTGATTTTCCATCCTCTCTCTCAGCTATTAAGACGCTGTGCTAAATCAAGAATTTATAGCTGAAATGTATAATTTATTTGGACAGTATGCCAATAATGCAAGTCACCAAGTCAGCTGTTAAGAGTGGAAAATATCACATTTATTTCCTGCAAATTCATAGTATGCTGTATAAACTTTTCTATATCAAAGTGTGTCTGACTAAATCTAAAATGAAGACTTCCAATCTCACCATCATATAGATATTATCACTAAGCAATGTGGAGCATATTATATTTATTTAGGCTTTTACTTGTTATTCTATCCTTTCTTTAATTATAGGAGAAAGAAACTAAGACTAATAAATAACATTTATTTCTTCTGTATTTAGGGGGAAAAACTATATAATATTTCTGAGAGAAATGATCAGGTTGCTCCTTAAATATCATATTAATGAGAACATTTATTTTGTGATTTAAATTAAATTTGGTACAAAACAATCCTCCTATGCTAGTGCAGACCACTGTTTACAATGTACCTCTAAAGCTGCAACCACTACCACTCCAAGACTGTAATTTTTTCTCTTTGGATTCTTTCAGAGAGATTTTTTTCCCCCTATAGGAAGAGAAGTACCTATAACTACTACATGCAAAAAAAAAAACATTACTTATTTCCTGGAAGGAAATATTTGTGCTTCAAGCATGTGATAGCAGATGTCAGCCCTGTATATCTGCCAAACTCGAATCAGGCTGTCTCCTGACAACTTCATATAGCAGAGCTACTTTCTTTTTTTTTTTTTTTTTTTTTAATCAGGTCTGTAGTTCAACCGAAGCTGACCAAGTTCGATTTGTTATTCCTCACACAGCTGCACGGAAATGATGAAGCTGCATTTATCTATCCAAACTCGATTAACCTCTACAAAGCTAGTTTACAAGAGATTTGTCCGCTGAACTCAGCCACACTCATTCAAAACTAAACTGATCTTCCATTGAAAACTGAAAATAGGTGCTTACTAGAAAGAAAGAAAGTACTTATGGTACTTATTTAGAAAGAAATAGTGAATTACATCGTCACATCACAACCTTTATTTTTAACAGAGACAAACAATTAGAAGGTCTTTGCTCACTGAGATAGTACATTACATACTTGTACACCTTGCAAAGAGCAGAATCTCTTAAAGACGTGCTTAATAAAGTGAGTGCATGCATGTGACGTAGCTGTGCCTATTTTAAAATCACCATCATTTCCTGCATCACTCCAGTTCACTTATAACTGCTAACATTTCTGTAGCACTTTTCCCGATAGTAGAAAATCCAGAGTGGTTGCCATTTAGCTTGGGAAGGGCCAGGGCTCTGGGCACAGACCTGCCTTGAACTATCACTGAACTAGCTGAGAAGGCAGCATCCAGCCATGGGGAGCCTTTGCAGTCCCTCGGCACCTGGCATTTCACCCCAGGATGTGAGAGCTTTTGAAAAACACTTTCAGTCTGCAGGCTCAGCTCAAATGCCTAAGAGAAAATGGCTTACAGTCGAACACACAAAAATACATCCCTTAGCAAGGAAGCAGATGTTCTGAGGAGTGAATATTCTAGAGGACTCTGAACACTGTCAATTAGTCTCTTATATATCGCCAGCCTTGTCCTGCAACAGTATTGGTAAGGTAGTTAGATTAAGTTGGTATGATGCCATTTAGCAGATTTATTTTTTAAATGTATTTTTCTGAACTGACAGATAAAATTGTGTATATTTATTTTACATGATATGATGTTCTGAAGTATATATACCTTGTGGAATGATTAAATCTGATTGTTAACGTGTACATTACTCCACATAGTTACCATTTTTGTGGTGAAAACACTTAAATCCACTCAGCACTTTTCACAAACATAATAGCTGTTACAATATATTACAGTACTGTGTGGTTCTTATTAACTGGAGTTCCATGTTAAACAGACCTCTGGAATTAATTCCTCTTATCTGATTGAATATTGAAGTGATTTTTTTTCTGGGTCTGAAAATATTTGTTCACTTTATAGTAAATGGGAAATACAAAAAATTCTAAGCACAAAAAGCCATCAAAACCTCTTAGATCTCACTACAAAAAATAATCATGGCTAATATCTGTGTATTTTCACCCAGCATTTTCTCAATGTATACATCTTTTTTAATGTAATTGGTATAATACGCTATATCTTTCATCTTTTATATCCTTCATCTTAAATTTATCTATTTTCTGACCATTTCCTGATACATTTCAACAAAAATTCTTCAAAAATACTGTATCTGGTGGCAGCACAATTTTCCAATATACAGATGTAACAAAAATTATCTATTTCTTTATACTTGAATGTTTTAGGGTCTTTCCTTCTCTATTATACATTGTGCTGTGATAAGTAGTCATTTATATAAGCCATTATCTCAGCCTTTGGGGACATTATTTTCTTAAATAAGATATCTTAAAATAGGCTTACTGGGTCAAAAGTTGTGAACATTTGTAAAGTTCTTTATATATATAGCCAGCCTGTGCTTTCCAGAAGGCTGAACCAGTTTCTACTCTGTGGCAATTAATTTTATGAGTCAATTTAACTGGACCAAAGGATGGCCAATGAGCTGGTAAGACATTATTTTTAGGTATGTCTGGGAGGGTGTTTCCTGAATACTTGGCATTTGAGTTGGTAAACTGACTAACGAGGACTGCCTCACCAATGTGAGCGATCTTCATGCTATCTATCCACAGGCGGATGGATCCACTGACACACGAGAATGTTATGGTTTCGATATGAAGCGCCCCCCACGGCCTCCTGTTTTGAGTTTTTGGTCCCTTGCTGGTGGTGCTGTTTTGGGAGGCTGTGAAAACTGCAGGAGGTGGGGCGTAGTTAAAGGAAGAGGTGTGTCCTTGAAGACCTCAACTTGCACCTCCTGTTGGCTACATAGTAAAAACCAGCTTCCACTACACACTCCCATCGCCATGATATTCTGCCCCAACACAAAGAGCATGGGGTCGAGCAACCATGGGCTGAATCCTATGACACTGTGGGCCAAAATAAATCTTTCCTCTCCTAAGCTGTTTATGTCAGGTATTTTGGTTACAGTGATGGGAACAATAACTAATACAAGTGCTGGGCCCAAATAGAACAAAAAGGAGGTAGAAGGATGAATTTACCCTCTGCTGGAACTGGAGTATCCATCTTCTTCTGCCCTTGTACACCAGTGTCCTGGTTCTCAGCCCTTCCAGTTCAGTCTGGGACTCACACCACTAGCTGCCTTGGTTCTCAGCCCTTCTAGTTGGGACTAAACTCCATCCCTAGCTTTCCAGGAATCCAGCTCACAGGTGGCAGACTGTTGGACTTCTCAAGTTCCAGACTCTTTGAGCCAACCCCTCACAATAAAGCTCTTTGTCTGTACCTCTCTATGTAACCTGCTGGCTACCCTCCTCTGAGAATCTTTCAGTAATCTGGGAGTCTCATTTAACCCTAATTAAAAACAGCTTCAGTGGGTTGTAAATACTAATCTGATAACGTATCATCTTATTTAAATTTACATTTGATTATTCATAAAGTCAAAATTTATTATATGCTCCTTGGTATTGTTTCTTGCTATGAATTATCTGATTGTTTTCTTATTTCTCTATTGTTAGTATTTTCCCTGTTGATTTATAAGAGATCATTACATATTAAGGATATTATTAGGTTTTTTTGCATTTGCTTCAAACACAATATACTTTTGTAATTTTTCTGATACAGGGTTTCACCATTTTCTGAGGCTGATCTGGAATTTTCTATGTAGCCCAGGTCAGCCTTGAACTCATAATTTTCCATCCTCAGCCTGAAAGTGCTGGGATTACAGATGTGAGCCACTACTTTTGGCCAGTTTTATAATTTTTAAAGTAATGATTAAAACATGTTTATTATAAAGAATCTTGAAAATATATAAAAATATTTTGGCTGGGCAGGTGGCTCACACTTTTGGCTGTAATTACTAGACAGGTGGAGATGAGGAGGATCACAGTTCAAAGCCAGTCCAGGCAAAACGCCAGTAAGACCCCATCTCAACCAATACCTGTCATCCTAGCTATGAAAGAAGCATAAAGAGGAAGATTGTGATCCAAATTATCCCAGGAAAAATCTAAGACCCTGCTTAAAAAGCACCAAAGCAAAAAGGGCTGGGGGCATGACTTGAGTGGTAGAGCACCTGACTGGCAAGTGCAAGGCTCCAAGTTCAAACTCCCATACTCAAAAGAAAATGTTTTGAAGAACATAAAGAGTGCCCATGATCCTATTATCTGGTGATAGTCAAACATTTTATGTATTTTTTCTCATTTTCTGTGTTTATAGACACTTAAAAAATATAAGTGGGATCATTACACTGTGCTATATATTTCATATATTCCATAAGTGTGTCTTTCTGACATTAAATATTCTTTGAAACATTAATAGCTATGTTATATTCCATTGAATATACACTATAATTCACTTGTGCATATTCCACCTCTCAGTAATATTTTAAGTATTTCCAAATATTTGTTACTATAACTCACCCTACCATAAGCAATCTTCTACATCTGCCATTACATATTAAACAAGGTTCAGAGCCATGTTTCCATAGGGCACACAGCATGGAAGATCCCATACCCACCTGTCACTTGAGTAGGAGCAATCACTTGGCTGGCACTTGATGTTGAAGCCTCAGGAGCCACTTCGACAGGCACAGGAGGTGACATCTTCTCAATCACTACTACAGGAGGAGATGGGGAGAAAAAGAAAATTAAAGTCTGTTATGAGCCCTTGAAATGCAAGCCTGACTTGGTGTAATAATACATCATAATAGTTCTTGGATCTAGAGAACTGCTATAGATCCTGAAAGCTCATGGTACAGTTATTAATTTATAGGTCTGCTTTCAACATTTAGCAAGAATATCCAAAAGCAATTCAGAAATTAAGAAAAATGACTATCTATCAAAAAATGACTTTCAAAGTCATTTGAAAATAGTTACAGTACTGTAGCTATACTAATAGGATGTAAGCAGAGGAACACAGTAAAGTATGCATTTTTCATATTTAAATTCAATCAAATATTCTAGTACTCTATTAAACACAATCAGAGACACAAAGATTCTGTCTTCTGCTTTCGTTAAGAACACTCTTACAAACAGCACAGACCAACACAAGCTACCTGGAAACTGTGGGTGCAGTTGAACTGTTGAAATGCCTGGAGAAAGCTGGGGTTGCCCAGGCTCAAGTTTGGTTTTCTCTTGATCCAGTGAAGGTATTTCCTGGGTGGTTGTATTTGAGAGAGAAGAGAGAGAGAGAAGAATTAAAAGTGGGAATTATTTTATTTCCCACATAGTATATTTTAATTAATTACATTCTTAGGTAAAGAAGTATCACAGGACATTAGACATTGACCTGTATAACTCTGTGACACAGAAACCCTACTGTACTGCTGCTTCTGGGGCAAGCCCTTGATTCTTAACATAGTGCTGACTTACACACATGCTCTCATCCATTTCCTGGGCACTCAAAGTCAGACCTTTCCAACAATGGCTGTGGCCCAGGGGTCGATATTTGGTCTCCAACAGGGCAATACCAACCCCAAATGACATAACTCCTATGTGGCTCTTCCCCACTACCACACTCTGCAGATTAAATAATGGATGTAACGTGAACAGCATAACAAAGAACCCATGCTAAGTTAAATATTTTTCACCAGGCAGTTATTATGACCTCCATTAGCCTCACATCTGACAATGTGTCAACTTTGGCTCTCTGAACAGTCACAGCAACAAGAACTGTGGTCTTAGAGGAGGATTTAGATCTCCCTAACATATCCTGTCACTCACTCTTGTCCCCTGCACATAGAGCAAGTAAACAATCCATCACCATGGCTCAAATCCAGCGACAGCTCCATAGGGCTCAGGCCAACTGAACAATTAGTCTAGTTACAGACCTGTGCCTTCACCCATACCAGCATGGGGCCAGAAAGCTCGTAACAACACTTCATTAAAAGTATTTATCAAAATTAACTTTCTCACTGTTACCCTTCATCTTCTTTTTCTGGCTTTAACTACTGTCCCTTCCAGAAAGCTCACTTTCCTGGCCTCTGTTTCACTCTTATCCTTTCTCCTTCCTTCACTTATCACCTCTTTTCTATTTCTAAAACACAGCCTGACTGAATATTTTATCAAAGACCCAATTTTGTAGGCATGAATGCATAAAGGGTAACTTTGTTTAGATATTCTACAGATTCCTCAAATCCTCCCCACACAAATGAATTCCAATTTCATCTTTTCTGTCAATGCCACAGTCATTCATCCACCCATGCAGAGTCAAAGGTACTTTCCAGTCATTCTTTCATCCCTCTCTCCAGTCTGCACTGTTCCTTATAGCTGTTAATCCCTTTCCATACCTATACACTCACCATCCCAGGCTGGCTCATTCTTTCATGCTTGGTCTATCGTACTAATCTAACTGGCCTTTCAGGCTATCTTTGCCTCCGTCTCTTGGTTAATCCCATCACAATTCATCTTCCAGAAACACTGAGTACTTACTACATTTTCCCACATACTGCCTCTTCTTAAGAATACAGACAAGCTTTTTATTACCTATTAGAGATGACTGTAATCACTCTTGATCGCACCCCATTCCCTGAAGCCCCTGGCCAATGCCAACAACAAGCAGACTGTAATCAAATGTTAATCTGCTCCTGTAGTTTACAGACAGATTTTCACCCAACAGCATGGGGCAGTAGACTTCTTAATCAACACCACTTCTCCACTTGACAGGTAGGGACCAGTTGAGTAGCTATTTCCTCAGTGATTGCAACTGTAGTTTGATATTTCCAACTTTGCAAAAACAGCTCCAAATTCTCTTTTCTAACCAAATCTTTCATAATCCTTAATGTCTTCCTACCAAACCATTGCACATGTAAGTTTCTCACCCCTGGGCCCTCCACCCTCCTCTCTGTTCATCTATCTTTAACATACTGAGACCTTTGTAAAGTACCAAGACCACAAAGACCATGATTCTATTTTTCCCACTACCTCCTCAGAAAATAGAATGCAGCCAAATGTATGCAAGAAAAGTGTTCAGGATCTCTTTTAGATTCGTGTAGGACTTGCCACAAACTCATAATCAAAAAAGAATAAAACTGAGTTATGATGAGGCTGGCCCACTTACAAGCTAAATGATTCTCCCTTATCATCCAGAACTAAATTCAAAATCAACAAAATTGCAAGCTACTATACATAGTTAAAGTTTAGAAATGAGAGCTAGGAACAGCAAATGCATACGTAAAATATGTGTATCTGTTGTACTTCTTCCAGGCTCAATATCCCTAACTTCTCCTTGATGAATGCTGACATTCCAAAATCATAATTCCTTTTTCTGGATATTGTTTAGCAGCTATATAATAACATATACGTCTAAGACTACAATTTAAAAAATTATAACTAAGCACAGAGGAGCTTGCCTGCAATCCCAGCTACTTGGGAAGCAGAAGCAGGAGGATCACAAATTTAAGGCCTACCCAGGCAAAGTTGTTAAGAACCTATCTAGAAAAGACCAAAACAAAAATAAAATAAAAATAAAAAGACTAAGGGCATAGCTCAAGTGGTAGAGCATTGGCCCAGCAAAAGCAAAGCCCTGAGTTTAGTCTCAACTACTGTACATTAACAAAGAACTATTTAATAATTTACATATGTATCACCCTCATCTAAATTCCAGTACTTAGTGTTTTCTTACCATCTGAATGAATAATACATATGTATAAGCATTTAATAACTACCTGATTTTCCTGCTATCCATGCAGAGTTCAGAGAATGCTTACTATTTCACAATTAGAACTTCAATCCAACAAATGTCTGCATTCCCTACTAATAAGTCTCATGAATCAGAGTCCCATACTAGGTCCCCAAACCAAAGACTGATAAAAAACTCCCTAAAATGTCGAAGAAACAGTGTTAAAATATTTGACTGTAACTTTCAAGAGTAAGCTCTGTTTTTACTCTACTTCAATTCAAATGTGCATGTTAAATTTTAGTTGAATTAAGAAGTACCTTACTTATTTTACATGAACTCTAAGAACACACATACACAAACATGCCAGAGTCTTTCTTTCCATAGGTAGTTCCAGCAATGAGTTCACTCTGAATTCTGTTTATGTCCCTGATTCTCCTTGATTCCCACCATTTTCTTCTCACTGGAATTTAAGTTCCGTGAAAATAGGAAAATTTTTGTCTGGTTTGCTCTCTATTATTTTCCCCGTACTGAGAATAGTGCCAACTGTATAGCAGGTTCTGAATAAACATTTCTTGAATGAATGAATTCTGTATTTCTTCAAATTAGATGATGCACCATGTATATCTTAGTGTATTTAAATTTTCAAATCTTGTACATAGACTTAAAAATTAGTTTGATGGCAAAAAGAGAGTAGACTTGAAAACAATTAATAATTACCTTCTCAGGAGGCACTGTTGCCACTAAAACCAGAAAAGAAAGAAGGGAATTACTACAATTTAAGACAATGCACTCATTATATTTCATTAAAAAAATACAAATCCTTTATCTCTCCAAAAGGATTAAGAATCAAACCAAGTAAAATGCAGAACCACAGTCACCTGCCACTTTGAAGAATTTTACACATGACTAATGGAGAACGCTCTGTGCTTTTCCATTCTTGAACTATAGGAGCTCAGAGAACAAATGTGGCTAAGTCTTTCGAACTCGAAATTAACATAATTAAACTAAAACATTAAACCAAATAAAGATAAACTAAAGAGAAGGAAACACTTTCTAGTACCTTATTTTATGCCTAATCTTAATTTTATGGAACTTCCCATGTCTTAGGAAACAAATGTTTTCAGTAATGAGTCAAATACTTTTAACCTAGTATATAATATTTGAAATGCTATCGTTCATCAATACTCAAAAAGAATGCCACTTACTTCAGCAAAAGACATGAATATAGATACTGTATTCCTGATGTAGTCTATTTTTTAATAAATCCCTGTAAACATTTTCATGAAGACAGGCTAACTTATGGGGGGAGGGGGAGAAGACCTTACAAGCCATTAAGAATCAATTAAAAGTTAGCATCAATGTATTGAGTACTAGAAAATGTCACACTGAACAGTCCCTAGACTCCCTCTACAGTGTAAGGCCTTAACTATTTCCTTGCCAAACGTGCTCCTTGGTCATAAGTCCATTATGTATTCTCTGAATGACATGTGGTCATGTCCCCTTGCTTGGTCTTAGGTTCTCAGAAGGTAAATGTAGGGACTGTCCTAGCTGATCTTCCAGATCCCTTCAATGAACTGTCTCCTGCTTTTTTCCTGCATTTCACCCTCAATTATCCCTCACTGCTCATTTCAGGGAAGCTCAGTTGATACTTTAACTTTTTGAAGCCTGTAGATTCTACTTTGTAAAGTAATATTTACTAATTGGCTCCTCTGACACAGACGTGAATTCAGATTGTTTCCCGAAGGATCAAAATTACTCTCCAGAAATAAACATTAAGTAAACATAGCCCTCAAACAGCAAGAAATGCTCTGGAATTACCATGGGATGTTACCGTCTAGGTACATATTCTAGAGTAGTGACTCTCAGTTGGGGTAGTGCTGCACATCTCATCCAGAGGTGTTTACAATGTTCAGACAGCTTTTTGGTGTAACAACTACAGTGGGAGGAATGAGACTGGCATCTAGAGGTCAAAGGCTGTAGTGCTGCTGAATGGCCTACAACGCACAGGGCAGTCTGCCCACCCAGCAAGCAACTATCCATTTTAATGGTGCTGAGGCTGAGAAACCCTGCTCTGGAGGGGTATAAACAGGGAAGCCGAGGTACAGACATACAGACAGGTGACTGGAGTCCATTGCTCACTCCCACTCTCACCTTCAGGTTCCGCCACTCCTGGCCCGTGTTCCCGGGAGAAGGTCAGGGCCTCCGCTGGCTCTTCCTTGGCTGGGAGAGGTGGAGGATGAGTACTTTTAGCAACAGGTTGAGTGTTCTTTGGCTTCACAAATACAGGTCCTTTACCTACATGGTGATGGATTGGCCTGCGTCTATGAACGCCAGAAACCGTATAACCCATTCCACCAGGACAGATTTCCTTAAAAGCAGCTAGATTTGGGATGGGAAAATATTCCTTTTAAAAATCTAACAGTGCAAACTTATACAGAGGAAAATATCATGATGAATATCTCTTAATAAGTCATCACTTACATAGGTACATTTCAAAACCTCAGAAACAGATGCAAAATATAAGCAAATTGCTTATTTCTGATAAACTTGCATAGTTACAGAAAAAACTCATGCCATTTCTTTAAACATTTATCCATCTGTTATTTCCAAATCCTATTCTATCAAGATATATATCCTGATATACACACACTATTTATAAATATGCAGAAAATATTCAGCATGTATTTTATATATCACATTACATATATATCAGAAACAATTCAGGACTGTGTATATCATATTCTGCATGTAAAATATATTACATATAAAATATTGCTAATAGTCATTTTATATACAGAAGACATTACATAGATTACATATCTCATGCTTATGTGCATGCTTAATATCACCAAAAATTAGGCTTTTTTTCCCTCCTGTTTCAGTACAATTTCATTATTTATTAAGAAGTCAATACCATATATAAGAAGGAAGAGACAGACAGACAGACAGGGTGTGTCACTTTTCAAAATAATGAGGTGCTGAAATCCTCATAATTTGTTTCCAGTTGAAGAACCCAAAAGACTCAGCCAGAATGCAGTGCCTCTGTGGACAGGGTGTCGGTTAAGAAGGACTGAAAAGGGGGAGTGTTTTTGAAGAGACTCTCAGGATAGCAAGAAGGAATCCCATGAAGTGAGACATGCCAGAGAGGACAGATTGAAATCAAGACAGGAAGGAAATGCCAGACCAGGCTGTAGTCATTTTCAAGCAGAGGCCTGACAACTGGGGCAAAGCCTGGCCAGGACCAGCTGGCTCAGCTATCCAGAGGACTGGAATCACTCTCCTCCCCAGAATAAAGTAGTTTGTATTCTTAAAAAAGAGTGGACTCTGTATGCAATCTGCTAACCCCACTACATAATCCCCACAAATAAATAAAGGGGAAAGACAAGGGTGGCAGGGCAGTGTGTGGCCTACAGAGGAAAAATCCACCTAATCCTTTTGCTGTTAGTATTGGAGGCAAATTACCAAACACAGACTCTGAGGAGCTTATGGTCACTTTTTATTTCTACTTTTAAAATTGAAAGTAAAATAAGTCATTTCTCACTTCCACTGAACAAGAGATCTTCTATTCAATGTTCTGAACCTAAAATTAGTTCTCAATAAAAAGGAAACTCCAAAACACTTCTTAAAAGCATGCTAAAATCATTTTTCTAAGGATCACACACTGAACGGTGGAACCTTATTCTTGACATTTAACTAAGAAATAGAATTCTTACTTGAAGATGGATGTTTCCAGAAGAAAGCACCTTTTCTACTAAAATTTTTAATGAAAGTCACCATATAACCAAAATTAATTAAGTGCAAAAAATTCATCTTTCATACTATTTTTAAATTTATGTATTGTCAGGCTGAAGGAACAGCTCAAGTGGTAGAGTGCCTGCCTAGCAAGCAATGAGGCCCTGAGTTTGAACCACAGTACCACCCAAAAAATTGAAGTATTATACCATGGGAGGTGTGTGAGTTACGTTCACCATCTTGATTATTCTTCATTTAAGGATTACAAAGCTAAAATGAAGAGTTTAAAGGAGGGTGACAATGGTCAATGTACTTTCTATACATGTATGAACAAGGAACACTGAAACCTGTTGAAGCCATTTTAAGAAGGGGGAGGGGCAAGAGGGAGAATAATGGAGGGAATGAACCAAACTGGTGTACATTGTACATATATATGGAAATAACAAAATGAAACCCCTGTAAAACTATTATATATTAATAAAAATATTTTTAAAAGATTTTAAAAAAGGATTACAAAGCTATCAAAATTGAACATAAAGAGAAATGTGTCTATGGATTACAATTTTCACTTGATTTTTATTTTGAATTGAGTGTGTTAGATGGCACAGGGGAGTAATAGGGCGTATTGGAGATGCCTAAAATTATCTAACCTACCAATTAACCATTGGCATTGTATATCTTTTCCTCAATTTTCTTCCTGACTCTAACTACCAACAAAGGTGGATCATGATTCTTAAATTTATATCAAAATCCTGTCTGCAAAATCCTATCACACAACTTATAGTTAAAGTCACTACATGGTCCTGTGAGCTGTAATGCTGCAATTTACTATATGGAGAGTATCTTATCACATGAGCAATTTAGTAGATGTTATACCCATCCCAAGCCAGTGAAAAAGAAGCTACTCCTTCCTTGTTCATATCATGCCTAACGTTTGCAGGTTACACTTCTTCCTTTTCCATTTAACTCCACTTGACCCTGCTTGAGAACTTGGTGACTCCTTGGTAGAAGTAAGGTACTTAGAGAAATTTACTCTTTCAGGGCATGGGGCAATCATGTTCCAAACTGAAGGTTTCAAAAGTTGAATTCTTAATGCTGAGGTCTTTGGAACATTCATAGGGGTTTTGGCAGAATCTTCTCTGAAAGTTATTAATGTTCATAAATTCAATCTTGAATATGATTCCCTCCATTTCCAGTTAAAGGAGTTAGGTACAGTGTTCAATAAGTGGGTGAATGAGCCAACCTGCACAAGGTCCCGTTACTGTAAAATGATGGGTGACCAATCATAAGGAGAGCACACAACCTTAGATCTTTATACCTAAATATAAGACTTAAAGGTCCTAGAACTGAGAATAAAATATAATGGCTTTTTTTATTATCCAAGAGGAATTCTAACGTTACCCAAAAAAATAGGAAAATCTCTTTGTACGTAATTTTTTCCTGTTGATTCAACTTTGCATTTTTTTTCCTACAAAAGTGAGAAAACACATTGTAATATCAAAAACTAAATTAAAAGTCAGAAACCAAAAGTGACCCAAGCTGTCAAAGACACTGCCTACTCACGGCTGGGAATGTTTGAGTGTACAGCTGGGCATGCCTTACCTGTGCCTGGAAGGGGACATTTCTCACAGTGTGGGCCCCATGCCTTGCCCACGCTACAACAGCATAGCTGCTTGGTGAGGTGAACAGACAGAGGGTGCAGACACTGCCTTCCGGAACTGACCAGCCGGTAACAGGGCCCTTTTTCTTCCGCGATCACAGGGGGGTCCGCTGAAGCAGAGAGATAAAGCCTGGTGTCATGTGAGAAACAAAACCAGACCAACTTTTCAAGTGAAAGTAAGTATGGCTCAGAACCCATACTTCAGAATAAACCCATCACCTTTTTTGATGAAGCGTCCATTAGCCAAATGAATTTTAAAGTCAGATCACCAAATATCATGACAATGACTGCTCCTGTCCCTGTCTGGGATCCTTCTTCCATTTCAGCAAACAGGAGATTAGGAATGCGTGCATAAGTGAGAACTAACAATTTCAACAAAGCCCATCTACCCAAAAGACCACCATCAAAATCATATCCCATTGTTTCCTTGTATTTGGCCACAGAGGCAATTCCAGGTTGGCATTGATGAAAGTCCAGGCTCCAAGGAAAATCAGAGCATGGCTGATGCTGCAAACCTGCAGCTGCTCTGCTCACTGCAGGACAGTGAGACTGGCAGGGTCCTGATCTTCCACTGTTAGTAAGGCAATAGGCCACTGATCCAACAACTAGACAGTCTACTGGACACAAAGGGCAAATATGATGACAAAAAGATGAAGTCCTGCCTTCAAGACGTTCCTTTTCTTGAAGGAACATGGGGTTATGTTTCTACAGAACCAGGTGCAAGTCACTTCAAGAATGCTGAGTCAGACCAAGTTTGGTGTCCCCTTGTCTGTTCCCCTACCCCAATCAAAGCTCTTCTCTACAGGAAATCAATGTGAGTCAATGCCCTGTATAGCTATCCTTATCTCAACCAGCAAAAACCCTTGTTCCTTCCTATTATTGCTTATACTCTCTCTACAACAAGATTAGAAATAAGGGCAAAATAGTTCCTGCTGGGTATTGGGGGGGGGAGAGGGAGGGGGCGGAGTGGGTGGTAAGGGAGGGGGTTGGGGCAGTGGGGAGAAATGAACCAATCCTTGTATGCACATATGAATAATAAAAGAAAAATGAAAAAAAAAAAAAAAAAAGCTCTTCTCTATGAGAGCCAGGTCCAGATTTCCCAATTTGCCTTTCCCTTACCCAATTCCTGTAGCACCTGGTGCTCCCAAATTACCTAATGTCCTAACCTTGTACCTTCTTACATCTACAGGATTGACATTTGAGATTAGATGGGCATGAGGCCCTGGGTTTGATCACTAGCACCATGAAAAGTAAACACACACACACACACACACACACACACACACACACACACACAGAGGCCAAACAAAAATTTACCCTCACATGTCTTTAGGCCCAACTCTGCCATGGCTCTGAAAAATGTGGGTAGATGGAGAAGTTTGGGTCTTTTCCTCTTCTATTGATTTCTGGGATTCTGTGCAAGTAAACTATGACAGCTCAAAGGTCACAGACTAAAAGTGAAAGAAAACTTAATAGCATGCTACTCCCCTCAACAGGATAGTCAGTCTCTGTAGTAACTGAATATCTCTCACACAGTGTATGTGGGGGTGGTGTGTCTGCAGGTTATATAATCCGCAGAACATATATAGCTCTCCTATAGCTCACAAAGAATTTTGCTCCAAAATTTACTCTGCAAATTCACTCTATGGAACTTACAACACATACTTCCATAGAAACAATGTCAGTATTGTAGAGCCTATTTTAAACACGGTTGGCTTAAGATGCTCCACCACTGACAAATGGATTAAGAAAATGTGGTATTTATACCCAATGGAATTTTATGCAGCCATGAAGAAGAATGAAATGTTATCATTCGCAGGTAAATGGATGGAATTGGAGAACATCATTCTGAGTGAGGTTAGCCTGGCCCAAAAGACCAAAAATCATATGTTCTCCCTCATAGGTGGACATTAGATCAAGGGCAAACACAACAAGGGGATTGGACTTTGATCACAAGATAAAAGCGAGAGCACACAAGGGAGGTATGAGGATAGGTAAGACACCTAAAAAACTAGATAGCATTTGTTGCCCTCAACGCAGAGAAACTAAAGCAGATACCTTAAAGCAACTGAGGCCAATAGGAGAAGGGGACCAGGAACTAGAGAAAAGGTTAGATCAAAAAGAATTAACCTAGAAGGTAACACACATGCACAGGAAATCAATGTGAGTCAACTCCCTGTATAGCTATCCTTATCTCAACCAGCAAAAACCCTTGTTCCTTCCTATTATTGCTGATACGCTCGCTCTCTTCAACAAAATTAGAGATAAGGGCAAAATAGTTTCTGCCGGGTAGCGAGGGGGAGGGGGGGAGAGGGGAGGAGGTGGGGGGTAAGGGAGGTGGTGGGGGGGAGGGGGGAGAAATGACCCAAGCCTTGTATGCACATATGAATAAAATAAAAATTAAAAATAAATAAACATGGTTGGCTTAATTATAATATTAATCATGTTAATATTAGTCCCATGTCCCAGGGCAGGGGTGACTCAGAGCAGAGCATTTTCCTCAAATCCTTGGCATTGACAAAAGGTGACATTGGGTCCTTTTCCTTCCTGTTCACTAATGCTTCATAGCTACTTCCTTACACTGCCTTAAGCGGCATGTCTGTACTTCCTGAGCACTAAATTTTGAAGTACACCACTATACTCACCCCCTAAATTAAGCCAAAAGTTCAAATGAGCAATTTCCTGCTGCAACAGATGAGTGCTTTGTATGCACGGGTGCTAATTATGAGACACTGGTGCTAATTAAAGCAAGCCTCTCCTTGTTGAAATTTCATGCACTGCACAAGAAAAATGTAAAATTTCAGGCATTTTGTCACCTGAATAATAAAGATGGAAGTCTAGTGAGCTAATTCTTTCTAAATCTTGTACTCTAGGAGGTCCTAGTTTTATAGGTGATCATTTCCTACCCCAAATAATCTGTAAGTTCTGTGCTACTTGACATACTGGTAATTTTTTCCAAGACAGTCTTCAAAACAGTGCCAGTGAGGGTCTTTAGAATGAGATACAAAGATAACCACTGGCTTTTAGAATCATCACTAAAATAGTTGTCAGCGAGTAAAGGAGTGTCAGCTCATGAATCAACAAAATGTGTTGATCTGACCCAAGTGCACCCAAGAGAAGCAACTGATAAGAAGCCCACTCCTTCAAGGATGGAAGAGGGAAGAAGGCAGCATAGGTCAGCTTGATATATCAAAATTTCATCCATGTGCCCATGAGTCACATTTCATTGATTTACAACTGTGTACACCAAAAAGTCTTCACCTTTGCCTCAAATTTTAAGTGTTTATCCTCTAAAATGCCCTGGTTTTAATACCTAAATTTCCTTTTATTATTCTTTTACCATTTCAAATGACTTGCATGACAATTCATTTATCTTATTGCAAAAACCTATGGCATTTTTATCAACCTGACATGTAAACCCAGGAATGATGTGATAGCCAGAACATACGATAGTGTTTCTCTTGCCCAAATGTCTTCAATGTCAAGCTGGAAGGCTAGTTATGAAGGATAATTCCTTAGTCTAGTACATTTATTACACACAATGCAGTACATGTGATTATATGTTCTGTTGAATAAGAAGGTTTTGTGTTATACTAAAAAAAAAAAAAGAGAAGTGGCAAAAGATTTCTACAGAATAGGTGGAAATGGGTCTGGGTGGAGCAGGACTGGATGGTAATAACAAGATGTGTGTGCAGGTTCTCATGTAATTACACTGAAGCAGTGTTTTAACAGTGAAACATGCTTTGTCAGATTTTATAAATATAAATATATAAATATATAATATATAATAAATATATAAATACATACATACATACATATATATGTATATATATATATATATATATACATATTTGCAGAATGTGTTGCTAAAATTAGGATGAAAAGATTCAGATACTCCGAAAGGAAAAACATTTCAGAGGCGTAAAATCTACTGGAAATGCCACATCTGTCAGAAAAACAAATCCTTTGCTTTTGGCTACTGAACAAACCTTTAAAATGGTAATAAGGGTATATATAGCTCCATACCTAAGCACAGTACAGAATCTAACACACATTCAATGCTGGTGGTGATTCAACTGAAGAACAGAGCAAAAAGCTAAAATTCTGGGGCTCCTCATGGATGTATTAAGAAAGTTATACTTGGGGTTTGGGAATGCAGCTCAGTGATAGAGCCCACGCTTAGCATGTGTGAGGCCACAGGTTCAATCCCCAGCATCACATAGAAAAGAAAAGAAAAAACTTAATATTTAATGATAGCCCTAGTTGTAGAGCTCTATGAACTCTCATTAGACTTTCAAGGACATGTTACTTTGATGTATAAAATGTGAATAATATTACTAAGCAGATAATTAATTAACCTGGCTACTTTCTATTTTATAAATCAGTACTAATTAGAAGTTGAAAACTGGGAAGGACTTCAAGAGATACCAAGGGCCTAATGGGTACTGATGCTACCTTGGGCAAGGTGGTATCAAGGCCAGGTAGCCCTATAAGGCTATGGTCACTCGCACCCATCCTCCAGCACCCTCATTCATCTCTTCAATGAAACTCCTCCTTTAAAGCTTAAGATTCCTAAGTGGATGAGTGTTGGGGTGCAGGTTAGGCACCAGACAAAGCTCTCTGACAAGTCTGAGAGGTTGCTTCCTAAGGAAACAAGAACTACGAGCATACTTTTTGGTAAATAGGTGTTAAAAATAAATTTGGGGAGGGCTCAGCCTTTCTGAGATCCCTCCCATATGGGGGATTTTCTTCTCTTTTCCTCTCTCAATAAACATCTGCTTTTTTTGTTAAAAAAATAATAGTAATAAATCTGGGGAGAACCAGAATCAAAGAAACAATGCACCCAAGGGCAGTGCTGTGTTAAACCATCTGCTCTATAGGTGAGCACGAACAAATAAACAAATGATGTATAGCTGTCAACTCAGACCGTTTCCTCTTCCTGCCTGTGAGTAACACAGATCCAGTTTCACCCCCGGGCTCTGTGATTTACAGGCTGTGTGACTTCTGGAAAGAGCCTTAACTTTTCTGTGCCTCAATTCCTTCACTTCTAAAATAGAAAAATGACAGTCTAAATCCCACTGAGATCTTATAAATATTTCATGTGAGTGAAAAAAATCCATGCAAAGTACTTATCATAGCGTTAGTCATTTATTAAGTGTACAACAAAGACAAGTATTGCCATGGTTTTGAGTGCTACTGTTATCTGGGACAAACAGCTTGTGCTGGTCTGTCTAATCTCCCAGCCATGGTCCATGAACCTCCATGGAAGGGAACTAAGAGCTATTAAGCCAAGATGGCCACAGAGGAAGTGGAAAGAAACAAAAAGGCATGAGGTAAATTGTGAGGATTTAATGACTTTCCTTGGGAAGAAACTAAGCCAACAAGTTCCCAACCTGAGGGACCCAGGAGAACAACATTACCATGGGCAAAAGCCACCAGGGCAGAAAGGGAAAGCCATTCTGAAGGGAAGACAGGAGAGCTAGCTGCAACTGATCCATTCCACTTTGTGAAAAAAATTAAAACCATCTACAACTATGCAGTCCAATCCACTAGGCACAAGCCACATGTTGCTACTTTATTTAATTTAAATTAAATAAAATTTAAAATTCCATTCCTCTGTCTGGTCTCATGTGGCTCGTGGCTTCTGTATTACACAGCATAGATAGAGGCAACTCCCACCAGCCCAGAAAGTTCTCTTAGGCAGTGTTGATTAGCTTAAGGCTCAGCCAACTTTTTCTGCAAAGGGCCAAATACTAAATATTTTAGACTTTGTGGGTCACATGGTCTCTGTTTCATCCTCCTAACTCTGCCATTACAGCACAAAAGCTGCCTTACGTGATATATAAAAGAATGGACACGGCTGTGATCCAGAAAACTTTATTGACAAAAACAGACAGCAAGCCGATTTGGTCCATGGGCCATGGTTTGCCAGGCCCTGCTCAAGAACCTCAGTCTGGAGTCACAAATCCTGGTTTGAAATCTCTACTGTCTGTCACTAGCTATGTAATCTGGAGTTCTTCTTAAACTCTCCTGGCTTTCATTTCTCACTGCATAAGACACAAATACTAATACATGCCTCAAAAAGATGCTGGGGGAATTAAAAAGAAGTATGCATGTAATTATGCCTGGCTTTGAGAAAGGATTTGCCCTCCATCCCATGAGCTCTGGGGCAGTGGAGGAGTTCCAGGCATATCGTCTCTCTCACTCGCTATTTGTGTGAATAAACTCCACACCCATGAGTGGAGCATCTAAGAAGCAGCAAAGCCCAGGCTGAGTTTGTTTTTTCTGGGTGCTTTCACTGACCCCATGGATGAACCCTCAGCAGCACCCTCCTCTTCCACCCAGCTCTTCAATTCCTAAAGAAAATTAACTATAGCTCAGAAGTAGAAAATCGTCCTCCTTCAATCATCAAGGTTATTTGGCTTTCTTGAATTTGCTCTGACAAGTCCAAAATTTTCACCTTTCCCCATAAGCTAGTTGGGGGCAGGTTTGGAGAACACTGCTCCAGCATCCTAAGCCACAGACACAAGGTCAGGGGAAGCAAATGCCAGCATCTTCCTACTCTCTTCCTTTTGGCTTGACAAGGTCAAGGGCAGAGGGCAGGCAAGGACAGAAAGTGAAATGGCTGCAGCCTCAGATTGAAGCCAAGGAATTCTGAGGGTGTTCACCTCGTTCAGGACAGGGAGAGCTTCCCGGGGGCCTCGGACAGTGCCAAGTGCACTTCTTGGAGTTCACAGAGTCAGCCACACCTTTTATAGTCTGGATATGCCATAATTTCATGCTGGCTGAGCAGCTGTCAGTCCTCACTGCTTGCATGCTCTCTCTCTCTGGCTGGTTTTATACCTTTCCAGAGCTTATCTTGCAAATGTTAGTTAACAACTCCAGTGCTCACGTTTGTGTATGCATGTGTGTGTGTGTGTGTGTGTGTGTGTGTATCCCCTAATCTTCTGCTACTTCCTCATGACTATGAAGCACATACCATCTTTCCAGTTTTTTTTTTTTGGGGGGGTTGTTTTTATTTTATTTTATTTTATTTTTGTCTTTACTCTGTGAACATCACCTTCTTCCCAACAGTCTTCATACTTCCTCATCAAGTTCTTCACAGAGTTCATCAACAAATTAGGCTGGAATGGCTGGGCACAAAAGCTGTAATCCCAGCTACTTAGGAAGTGAAAATAAGTAGTTTTGTGTCCCCCTCTTCCCCGCCCCCAAAAAAAAAACAAGTTAGCTAGACCTTATCTCAATGAATAAGCTGGGCAAGATGGTACATACCTGCAATTCCAGCTACTCGGGAGGCCAAAGTAGTAGGAGAATCTCAGTCTAAAGCTGGCTGTGAGCAAAAAGCCACAAGATCCTATCTAAGAACCAACTAAAGCAAAAACAACAACAAAAACCCTAAAACTGAAACACAACAACAAAACTCAGGCTGGAATCCTGAAGAACTCTATATAGCTCCGTGCTATCACATGTGATAATTCCGACTGAAGAGAAATACACTCGCCAGCTGCATGCTTGTGGAGAGCCCAGGTTTTAATTCCATTTCTAAACTGGAACATCAAACGAGCAACAAGTGACTCTTAATGCTTATCATGTCAGCTGTTGTAGCTGAGCCATAAAATTGAATTATTTATTTTTCAAATAAGAATGGGTGGTTGTTTAATAAATTGAGAATTATTTGGGCAATGACAGGGAAAATAAATGCAAAGGCACTGTGGACAGCTTTGAAAGTTCTCATTGGCAGGTTCCTCCAGTCTAATTACAGCCTGGATGTCTGCCTCTAACTCTAGACATCAGATCAGTCAAGGTTTCATAAAACAGTCTGCGACCAGTTCTCCAAGTTTAATTAACCTGCAACATTCAGGACAAGAATTTTAACCAGATTCTTAAGTCAAATTATTTAAGAGAAAAAAAAGACATTTACACCAAATTCTGTATCCAAACTCAGTCTCTCACATGTACATTGATATTTATTTATGTAGTTCAAAACAGCCAAAAATTATCCCTAAATTATCTGGATATTGTCAACAATGTGATTTTTGCCCCAAATTCCTATTTCTTTACATCAGTTTTCAAATGTATGCGAAGTTAATTTTGCAGTCTAACTATCTCCTAAAAAGCCCTGGAATCGCCTGTAAAAGAACAGAGAAGGACTTACGTGCGAGATTCCCAATCTGCATGTGACAATTTTTAAAGGAAAAGAGTAGTGATTAATAAAAATGTTTCAAAAGACTAAACAAATCCACCTCACAGCACTAAATGAGACTGAAGTTTTTATTTTCCTACATTTATCTTTAGTTCATCATCTCTGTGCTTCACAGCCCAGGGAACGGAGTTAGAGACACTTAGCCAGAAATGAATAACGGTGGCCTCCAGAAGAACGTCTTGACTTGATCCAATGTCAAGTTTAAAACAGGGAAAAGAAGAATGTGGCTTAGCATATACCAATGCCACATTGAAAAAGTAAATAAAAAACATTAGTAGGATAGAAACAAATACAGAATTGCTCTTGAGTTACCCAATCCTGGTCTTTTAATGGTGTGCAGCCATTAAAATTTGCAGTGTTTACCTGCTTTTGTAACAATGGCTATGATACCGTTAAAAATAAGGCAATCTTTAAAAATTCTGCCTCTGAGGACTTTTTACCTAGCATGCACCCATCTCTAGCTGCATGTGGCTGCACTGGATGAACTCTGTGAAGAAAGGGTCTCTGGTGAGACCATATTTTCAGAACCAACATTAGGACATGTGGTTTGATGGAGGAGTTTTACCCTCAGTGTGTGTGAGAGAAAATCTCAGACTATTTATAAAGCAACACAGTGTAACTTTGGAGCATTTTGGTGGTTTTGGAGAACAACAGAACAGGATATTTGAAATTAGGACTGAACTAGAGAATCTGAAGTTCACAGCTGTGGTAATTATTTTCCATAGTTTTCCAACAGAGAAAGTACAGTGAAACCTCAGAAAATCAGTCTGGTGACTCAGAATTTGGAAAATTTAAAGGCAGAAGCTGAGACAAAGTTTAATTCAGCCTAAAGAATGCTTAAATACTTATGATGGGAATGCTGCTTTTATCTCTCAGGTCCCATAAATGGTTGATATATCTCTCTTATGTCCTTGTTTTTTCAGTGGTGGTACTGGAGTTTGAACTCATGGCCTCCTGATGCTAGGCAAGCTCTCTACCATGTAAGCCATGTCCCCAGCTTTTTTGTTGTTGCTATTTTCATACAAGCTCTCACAGTTTGTGTTTATGCTAGCCTCAAACTCCGATCCTCGTGATCCCAACATCCCAGTAGGTAGGATTACAGGTGTGAGCACCACACCTGGCCATGACCTTTTTATTTATCTAATCAAATTCTATTCTCTCAGTTGTTATGATTCCCTATTCTGAGTTTGAGATGACATTTTACCAAATGTAAATAAGAAGGTCCCATAATATTTTACCAATTAGTAAAATAAATGGTATTTTTGTCATTTCGATCAATAATTATTCCTGCCTAGTTCCAATACGCTGTTGACACCTGAGCATTTCCTTTCTTTTGGATAACCCCCAAAGACAACTGATCCAAAAAAGTAGGAACAAAAAGTGATTATTACTTACGAATGCAACTTGAAAAGGTAGGGTCCGGCCCAAATCCCATTTTGCAGGTACATCGATAGCTGCCCATGGTGTTCAAACACTCACCGTTAGGGCACACGCCTTGTAGCTGGCATTCATTAATATCTGCAGGAAGCAAAAATCTTTCAGAAGGAATAGTCAAGCCGTGGTGAATAGATTCTGGTTGAAAATTGCATTCACTTATTTTTTTTTTTTACTATAATAATCTCTTGGTTACAATAAAAAAAGGGAGAAGGATGCAATAGGTATAAATAACTTAAAATAAATCACTGAATATTTATTGGATATCTGCAATTGCATAAATATTTCTTATGTAGCTACTACATGCTAGGTTCTATTTTAGGTGCTAAGGTTTTACTACTGAACAAAACTGACCAAAAATTCTGGCCTTTGCAGAGCTTACCTGTTAAGTCTTAGTATGTGTTAGACATTACAAAGCACATAGGTAAAACCAAGATTCTTCTACAAGCATGTAAGAAATACAGAAGTGAAAAACAGCACAAGTTAGCACAGTGAGCGCTGTCAGAACTTGAAGACATCCAATTGTGAAGTTCCCTAAACAGACAGTAAAGAGGAACTCAGAGGTAGCTGAGGAGGAGGAAGCCTGAGGGGGGAGCTGATGGATGGGCAAGCAAAGGAAGGAATATTAGCGCGGTAGAACACTGCAGTGAGCACAGGGATGGCTAGGAGAAGGGGCTCAGGAAATGGTGAGTCAAACTGTTGGCTGGAAGAGAAGTTTCAGGAAGGTAAAGAGCTGGAAGCAAAGCTGGCAAAAGTCAGGCTAGGTTTGGACTCAGTTTTATTGAGAACAAGGAGCTACAGGAAAGATTTTTGAGCAGGCTCTGGGGAAATTCACCTGGCCAGCACATGGCTGGGTGAGAAGAGGCAATATAAGTAGGAGGGTGGTGACAAGCCAGGCTGGTGATAGTCAGAGTAATCAGGAAGATAAGGAGTGAAAAATAGCTTTTTTTTTTTAAAGGAAAATTTTGGTCCTTGGCTGAGCAACACAACACTAGGAAGTAGAAGAGAGGAAGCAGAGAAGTTGAGGAGGATTCTGAGCTGAGAAGAAAAAACACTGCTGGTTCTATGGAAGGAGTTCCAAGGAGGAAAGAACGCCAAAGACAAAGAATTCAGGATTGAAGTTCAAGGTTACATTGGGGTCTCCAAGCAGAAATACCCAGCAGTGGCAGAAGATTCAGGAATACAGTGAAAGGAAACTGTGGCCTGAAATGGAAGCTTGAGAAAATTTGCAAAGGTGATCCAGGGGAAATCAAAATGATCTGAGAGAGGAGAGATGCATGTGGTGATTTTTATAAGAAAGTCTGCACAGCCACTTGCAAAGCTAATTTAAAAAATCAAGAAAGAATGTGTCATGTTAAAAATAAAAAATTAGCAGCCATGTATATTTGGTCCAGTGTGACTTATGAAGCTTAGCAGTTAACAGACATTGACAGATAATACTTCCAAATAATACTCATGTCCCTTGACCATTAATTCTTCTACAAACTTTTAAGAAGGACCCTAAAATATTACTTGTCAAAATTAAAATTGCTCACAATAGTGGCAAAATAGTACAGGGAGACTCTTAACATAAAAACCAAACACAGCTTTCAATAAATCATTATTAAACAAATGTTAATAATTTAAACATGAATACTTTATGTTCTAAGAAGGCATAGCTATCTATAGGTACGTATTTTATTCAAAACACGCAAATTTTTGGTTAACTTCAGTGATAAAATGTTACATCTTCCATGATATTCAAATGATAAATTAATGCACATTTGCTATATAAGTTCTATAGCCCTCCAATTGGGCTGCAGTTGGATCACACGTGGGTGGGCACCTGGTCCAGCACTTCATCATGTCGCTCTCTACGTGGTTGTGAGCTGTGCTGGATGCACATTTAGTGGGGTATGTATTTGAAAACCACCATGAAGAACCAGGAAGAGTGCCAAGTCCAGCCAGCCCTTCCCTGGTACCAGCGAAACACTTATCATATGTCCCAAGTGAAACTTCAAGTCTGGGTATCCAGCCAGTTGTGGCCAAGAAGGCTGAACAAAATCTCCATCTTCAATTTTCCCACACGTCCCCACTAGGGCATGAGTACTAGCCCTCTTCATCCCCTGTTCACTGGTTATGCCACTACCTATTCCACCGTCACCTCTTGGGACCCAGACTCTTCCTTGTTAGGAGGTTTCCAGGACAGCTCCTTGCTGTCCCGATGGTGGCTGGCAGGTTAAGGTGGGGGGTTCCCCCCACTCATAAATGCCTGCTTTAGAACCACTGCCTTCTCTCTAACTCCCCTCAACACTGCTGCTCACAGCCTTGAGCTTGTCGTGTGGGAATGGGAAACAGGAATTAAGGCTTAAAAATAAGGTCCAACCTATGTGTATAGACAGGAAGTCCCAGAAAAGTCCACAGGGGAGGGAATCCTGTAAGGTTTTTCCTGCCTCCACTTCTCTCATCAGTCCGTGTCACCAGCACTAGCACCATGACTGTAATTGGCCCTAGAAGACAGAAACCTGGAACCTTCCCCCCAACACACAGTCACAGATTCCAGAAAAACTCATTTCCTTCAGCTGCCTTGACTGACTTAAATTTTATCATGTTTTCTGAAATATCAGCACAGAGATTCATTCTATTTCCAAGCTTCCTCTATTTATTTAATATATACCAAAGTATATCAATCTTAAGTACACAGCTAGATGAATTTTTATACACATGTATGGCCAGGCATGGCGGTACACACCTGTAACCCCAGCACCAGGAAGATAGAAGCAGGAGGATTGTGACTTCAAGGTCAGCCTGGACTACATAGTTAAGACCCTGTCTCAAAAAAAAAATGCAAGTGTGCATGCAAGCAAGATTAAAAATATTTCCATCACCTCAGAAGTTTCCTTCCAGCCCCTTCCCAGTGGACATCTCACACCTACAGCTGACTACTATTCTGGCCACTATTATCCAGTAGTCTTACCTGTTCTTGAACTTTACATACAAGGAATCACATTCTATATTCTTTTGTCTGACTTCCTTCACTCATTATTTTGGCTGTGAAATTCATCAATGTTGCTGCACACAGAAGTTCATTCTTTTTTATTGCTGGGCTATATTTCCTTGTGTGAGGATATCCCAATTAACTTATCCATTCTACTATGGGTGGATACTTCGGTTCTTTCCCATTTTTGGCTGGTATTAACAATAATCTGTAAGCATTCTTATACCTATGTATTTGAAGGCCTCAGTGTTCATTCCTCTTGGGTATATATCCAGGGGTAAAAGTTCCAGGTCAGTAGGGAAGCCTATATTTACTGTAAAAACCCATCAAATAGTTGTCCAAAGTGGTGGTGTCAATTTCCATTACCAGCAGCAGTTGTGACACATCCTCATCAACTTAGTGTCAATCTCATAACTAAATGTGGTCCTTCTGGTAGAGTACAATACTCATTGTGGTTTTAATTTGTACATCTCTAATGAGGGATGACTGAACAATGTTTCATGTATTTATTAATGATGTAAATATAGTATTTCCTCTTACCAAATGTAAATACCAACAAGGAGATGTTACTGCTCCCCTCTTAACACTCAGGAAGGGCCAGTATGTGATTCTCAAAGTGGGAATGTGGGTCTTGACAGGGGGACATTTGAGATTATTTTAACGCAGAGTGGCTGGATGACCGCAGGGACGCTGAACATTCCAAAGGTGTGAGTAGTAGCCATGACAAAGAATTGTTGTGCCCAAAATGTCAATAAAGTCCTCATTGAGAAACACACATAGAGGAGAGGCAAAATACTATTTGGAGTTTGTATGTGCAAAAGGAAGCTGTATGAAGCAAAAGGGTTTGAGGAACAAGACAGATGGAGGGAGGACCTGGCCACATAAGACCAGAAGGTTTGGTTTACTTGACTCAATGTCTGTACCCACAACTCACAAATTAAACTTTGGAAAGCATCCCATTCTTAAATTATTGATACTCACGGGTAAACTTTTACACCTAAATTTTATATAGAATATTCTCATTAGTTTTTTTTGCCACTATGTTCTTCCATACCCTGCTTTGTTCCTGAGAGGTTTGTGGGTGGCTAAAGTCTATGTCCTGTGTGTTAAAAGAAAATAAATTATAAGCTTGTCTCTTATGGTTTTTAATATAGAACCTCAGAAATTAATAAGACACATGAGCAACTTTTTAAAAAGACTTTCTAAGGTAGCCCACTCTTAAAGACCTTTCTGAATAAACTGAAAGAAACTGGGGATTTACAAACACAGAACAAAACATATTACAGGTGGACAGAGAAGGTGAAGGAACATTCCAAGAGAAGATGGGACGAGGCCAACACGTAAGTCATATGAAACATAACTGGCAATCGTGTGAAACACACTCAGACTTCAATTCCTAAGGCTATTTTCCTTTTTTAAAGAAAAGCTTCTCCCAGCACAAGAATAAAAGAAAAGCTTCTAACTTGATTATAAATTTTATAACTTTGTAAGTAACTTACTATTGCCAAATGTAATACAATTTCAGGAGTCTCATATTTCACAAGGTCAACCAACATTCCTAAACTTATTCTGATTAAATCAAGAGTACTCTAGTATTCCGTTTTAAAAAATACAAATAGATAAACAACTGAATTTACTCAATTATCAATATCTGCAAACTACCAACTTTCTCCGGAAAACTCTGGAGTTCTATCCTTGGCAGAAATGGTCTGGCCACTACACACACCACCACATAAGAGGTAAAGAATCGAGGCTGAAATGAAGGCTGAGGGAGCTGTAATCTGAGGGTGTATGTCTCCATCTGAGCTGCTTTGTTAGGGAAGTCTATGAGTTTACAGAAAGAGAAATAAGGAGAAAGGCTCACACAGCTCCACCTGCTCCTCTGCAGAAGGCAAAGCACCTGAAGGAGATTTACATGTTCTCCACTTGCTGAAAACATTTACAGGTGGTTCTGGCTATACAGCCAACCATGAGCCTCAGACCACATATTAAGTTCAAGAATACAAAACTGTTCTTAAAAGTCTAACATGGTCCAATAATGGCCATGTCATAGGGTTCAACCGAGCAAAACAGAAATAAGATGGACAGTCATCCAAGGATGTAATGC